TTTTTTTTCTACCGGTATCAATTCTCTTACTATATCCTAATATTTATAAATCATAGTAGTAAACCCTTGATTTTTATGTTTTTTCGTTTCCTGGATTTCGGCGTTTATATTCCTTCAAATACCACAATTACTGACTCTCTCTCCCGGAACTTGACCTCGTATTCCTGCCATTGCTGGGAGCTGCACCTGCGCCTATAACTCAACCACAATCTCAGCAACCGGACCCACCCCGTCTAGTGGGTTGTCGTTATAATCTAACTAGAATACCTCACCATAACATCGTCAGAATCAGATTAGCGTTGTAGGGCACGGCAAGTTACATGGTCCAGTGGAAGATGAATAACTCTGTAAATTTGTTCTGGAATATTCCAGGTTTAAAGTGCTATTCTGTATGGGAATACAAAAGGCACGGCTCGGTGGTTGAAAACGTTATTGTTGGAATCATATTCAAAAGTGATAGCATTTCAAACATTTAGCAAAAATGAACGAGGAAAAGCCTATTCTATGCCCTCACCCATGTTGTGAGGGTAAGATATAACCTTCTGTTTTGGACCTTCGACGGCATTTTTATAATGTCCACTCAATTGAAGAGCCACATCGCAACTGTGTTTCCCGCAAAAGGAAGTGGATACATGACTCCGGAATTGACGAGGAGCAAAAGGCTGCCTTCTCAGATACTCTGCAAGAACCTTCCACCATGTTGCCCACCGCCAAAATTGAGTGTTAGCAGCCCCCATTAAGAGCGGCCTTGCACAATAGGGGTATCATAATTCAGAGACCACTTTATGACAAGTATATAGGCAATGAAAGGTACACGTTGACCTTGTACGACAAAGTAGTGATGTTCAATGATACTGTACTCTAAACACTGGTAAGCCAGGCACAGGGTGCTACTAAGAAGGCCAATGTCAAGAAGCGTAGTGGCTCAGTTAGTAATAGTGTGATAGGTTAGAAATCAGAACCAAGAGAATTTTGGATGGGTTCCTAGTTCCCGATACATACCCGCTCTATGCTAGGCCATGGTTGGGCAGGTTGTGATCATTGCAGTGTGCAGCAATAATATTACAAATGCTGTACTTTTCTTCAGCAGGTTTGTGAAGCGCGAACGGTCTGCGATTTCTGACACAGAGAGCTAGTCTGTGGCCTGTAAAGGTAACTCCGCAATACTTCCGAGGTTCATTACCTCATTGCCTACCCTAAGGGGTTGTTAAAACGAACCAAATGCAGCCCCAAAGGTAGTCTGACAAAGGAACATTGGACAACCAGTCATAACTGTAGGTTCACATAAAAGGCTGCTGTATCTCCAGCTTTTCTGTATGTAGGGCTTGCAGGCGCCCGTCCAAATGACGGTTACAGAGGTTTACTACTCTCATCTGTGAGATGATTCCTCAGCCCTTCAGCTCTTTGTCCTCTTCTGATGTCAAGATGCTTCAAGCTTCACTTCAATCCCAAGTGTTTGTTCAGGATCCTTTCTGCTAATTCACTTCTTTTAGCGCAGGTGACCGGCTTGACCTCACTGTCTCGTGGCCTGACTTTTCAGGTGAATCTTCACCCCAACATTCACTTCACTTTTAGGCCCCTTATTTTCCGCCCGTGAAATTTCTTCAAGTTCTAGGATTCAGATCCTCTTTTCTTCCTCCAATCATCCTCTCGTCCCCTCATCTGCCAACAAAAGCTACCATTGGCTTTTATCTTCAACGTCATTTTTTCATCTCAAGTGGACTGAAGCTATCCTTCTGTATGTGTTCTCTGCCATTCCAGCGGTTCTCACGGGCTTTCTGGCGAGTTGTGGCGCGTTATGGGCGTTTTATGTTACTGACTCTGGCGTTTTCCTAGCCTTTTTGCCAAAAAGGTTGCCCCGTTTGTGCCCGCGGCCCCCGGTGCCCTCGTTTCCGGTATGTCGAATAATACCCTTCAACTTTAGACCTTTGTCTGATTCGTGCAAACCTCTGTTGAGGCTCGTCTTTTTGCCGCCCGGGAGCAGGCTGCCTCTGCCGTCGAGGCCCTTGACGCGGCTTTGAACAGTTTGCAATTGGCTGGCCCCCTCCGGGGTCCCGCGGGCGCTCGTCTCTCGCCTCAAGAGAGACAATCTGGGAAGCAAATGGGCCATGCTCAACTTGAATCTGCCGCCTCCATCTTTGAGGAGACTACCGAGAGCATTCTGAGTGCGGTTTCTTTGATAACTGGCCGTTAAGGCTTGGGGCGAGGCCCAGGACGGGACCCCCTCCGGGGCTCCCTAGGTACCCCTTCTTTTCCTCTTTCTTTAAAGAAAGGATTTCCTGTACTTAGATAGCTTCATGTCATGGTATTTGTATACCCTTTGACTGAAATCATGGTCCAGCTTCGTAGTAATTAGTTCCCCCTTATAGTGTTGATGGGCCCAGTAGAGGGCATCGAAAATGTGTCATATTGAATTGATATTATGAAACGTGATCAGTTTGGGCAATTGATCGGCGGCAAGCTGTATACTGTAGCATGGTTCAGACGATAGACCCTTGCATAGTATCTTGTACCCCCTTTGTTGTGACGTGGCAGACTGAGCACATAAGGGCCATCGCCCTCCTTACGGAAACCTAAGGCCAGCCTCACTCCCTCCACTAGAGAAAGAGTACTGTGCCGCAAAGATGGCTACGGGATCTAACTTCCTTCTCTCATTACTATCAAGGTAAGTTTTACCTGCCTTCTGTCAATAGTACCCTATCTAATGCGACGAAGTATTCGAGAAAATGGCGCGTTTTCCGACCTCAAAATCAAATGTGGACCGTCAATCTTTATTGTACATTGTTGCATCGTCCGTCCACAGTCAAGGTTCTTCGAGAATGCAATGAAGGGCATATTTCAGGTAAACGTGATGTTCTGTTATGGAAGTATTAATCTGATAAAATCGCAGGAGGCCAGATCAAAAGAGGTCACGATCGTTGATGACCCTCTGATTGTTAAAAAGATGATTATCTCTATCGTGAGGACTATGACGACTCTTCCGAGCTCACCATCGAAGAACAAATCCGAAGCTCCCCGGAGCAAGTGGGTACCCCCCTGTATGGAAGGCAAGATATTAGAAACGAAGGTCTTGATTGGTGAACACAACGATCCCACAATCTCTACCTGGAACACTGAACAAACCAAGTCGCATATCAATGCAACAATGTATATTGTTGCCGACAAATACGCCATCAATGGACTTATGGACCTCGCTAAGAAAAATTAGAATTAAATCTAACGGATGAGTGGAAAGACGCTGACTTTATTCAACGTGTTAAATATGTCTATGGGCCGCATGCTCCTGCAAATTCACATTTGCAGGGTATAGTAGCAACATTTACCACCAGACATATTTCCACTCTCAAAGAATTACAAAGTTTTCACGAAATCTGCAAGGAGTCCCATCATCTTGTCTACAAATTCTCAACTCTGTTGATGGAAAGGGTGGTACAACTGGAGACGGAATTATGGTAGGCCTCTACGTTTTCCTAAGCCTCCTAGCCGCGAAACTGAACGAGCGTGTCTGTCAGTAATAGAGATTCTACTAATCTGGTTGTAGGGCAGGTTTTTGCCAGCCTTGGACGGTACATATGTGAATGCCCCCACCGATCTAGTCGTCGCAGCCGCCCCAGCCAAAATACCTATTGCAGTGACTGTCGAAAATCTTTTAGCCACGGGAGTGGACTTCGGCAACATGACAATGAAAGGCATCATTGGTGTACTGACTGTGAAGAACGTTTCTCGTCACTTCAAAAGGCTCGAAGACATCGCTCAGCGTATCATGATGGCTACTAGAGAAAAGATTTCAATAAAATATCCAAAACGTTTCTTAACTATCTCTGCCCTACTCAAAGGCGGGGCGGACCCTGTTCCTTGTTAAGGAGTCAAGTTAAAGTAATAAGTAGACCAATTGCAGTGGATAACATATTGGGGACGTGATTTAATTCTCTCAGGATGATAACGATTCGTGTTGGTATAACAGGAGTAAACTCGATAAGTCCAAGTAAAAGAATCCATCGCGGCATTAATGGAAAATCGGTCTTTCAAGTACACGCCAACTCGTAGCAACGATTCTTAAAACCCCAGGTTGCTTGCATTCAACTTCGGGGTCGCACAAACAATGCATTCGCCCGAACAGCGTCAATGAATTCACCCTCCACTTTTCCAGGGATCTGGATGGACGCCGTGAGGTAGACTTTACGTCCTTCGACTCTCTCTGGCCATGCACGCAGGCGAATCGGAACATCCGGTGGAACAGACTGCGCAAAAGACGTGTTGAGGTATGCTGTGACCGCAGGCCGGCAGCAGTCTGCAAGGATACGGTCTAAGAGCAAGGCGAGGTATCCGCCAAACATTTTTCCATCATAGTAACACATCTGCTGCCGCGGGGTCAATTTTATGACAGCGTCTGCTTCCATCCCCAGAGGATGACGCCGGAAGGTAGGGGTATAGCCTTGAAGTAGAGAACGGAGCAAATCTTGCGAAGGCTCTACCGACAGTTTCTGTCGAGAATATCCCTGAGTCAGTATTGAACACGGTTGCAGTTTTATGGGGAACATACAGGTACTCTCTTAGGGATACCCCTTACTCCATCATATACAATGCTGGTCTTGTAGGGTAGAGCTTGGCCTTGATATCCGCGTACCGTCTGATAAATCACCCGAGCCGCAAAGTGTCGAGACATGTTTGTTATGGGTCTTGTAGGTAAGGCTTAATTCAATATAAGATAGAACGAAACCAGTAATATGATGGCCCTAAAAAGAGAGGAGTGGGATGCACGACAGTAGCTACTTATAGGTTGATGTCTCTACTCTAGAATCCTTCCTGCCCAAGAACTGAATATTACCATATTTCGCCATATTGCGTGTCACTGTTGAAAACATCTCGAAAGTGTATGCAAGTGAAGTGGGATTTTTGATTGGGTAGACGCTGATCTGCGAGCCGATTTGGGGTCGCACGACCCGGGCCCTGTCTCCACTACTTGGTTGCGACCCCATTTCGGTATGGCAAGCACACAGAGGGCGATCATAACCATATAGCTAACCCACGCGAGATACGTTAACCTGCTCCACTGTTGGCATCCTTTCTTGTCTTCGCTCAATTTGTCCATTGAGACCACCAGAAAAAGTACTAGAATAGAGAAGTAATTCGATTCTGGTATGTATACTAGTAGGGTATGACGCGTCTCGGCAGATTTGAGTGTTGGTCATAAACCTCCACAGTCGAATGTCGGTTGTGTGACAGTCCATGATTGATATCATATACCATTGGCAAAACTTAGAATATCTGGTACCCAACCACGCAATTCGCTGGGCAATTTCAATCACTGCTCGGGGAAGGTGATCGTAGTAGATCAGGCGATCAGGCTCGGAGTGGAAGGGAGGTAGCTGAAGGGGGTCAAATTGACAGTGCAACGATAAGTCATTCTAGCTAAGGTGGGAATATAGAGAAAAAGGAAAAGTCCCAATGACATCTTGCGCTTCGAACAGAGAGGAAAAGCGAGGGAGGCAAAAAGCACCCGGGTTGGTCGGATACGCCGATCGCAGGAGACCTTGCATTTCCGTGGTTCCGCTCAGCGAGACCCACCCGTACTTTTAACGCCAGTAAACACTATACCGAATCAAGTAGGACCCCAATAGTCTCTATTCAGAACCGAACAGTCCTGGCAGGATTCCCTACCCGACGTCGTGAGACACATGTCGGCTCCTGTCCAATTGGCCCTCTGGTATTTGGGATTGACTGTCATTGGAATGACTGCAAATCGACAAAATCATGTGAAGATCCCTACCAAACAGTCAATTTCCGAAGGAGCGACAAAAGGCCGGAGTAACCGAGTAACGGAGACTTATCTAGAACGCCTATGGAACAACGCGAGGATCATCAGTACTCTTTTGCATCGTATCAAGACAAGCTTCCGGTCGGCAACCCCAGATTGATTTCCCTCTCAACTACTTCTACGCCTTTTCCCCTCCCCCCCTTTCTTTTAGTTGTAGATGTCAGTTCCGTGTTGACGTTATCTGCACATCGGTGTCACTCCCTCAATCCCTGGTGTAAGAGTATTCTCCCCGGCCATGTATAAGTGGCAGACCAGGAGGAGAGGATTTGAACCGGCTGGGCGTCGGTTACGCTGGGGCCATTGCTTAAAACCATCGTCCGTCGGTTGGCCTGGACCTAATGGCATTGACTTCTGCTCCCGAGCGCGCCCTTGGGGGATACATGGTTCGGCGAAGGCCCCTGGGGAGATAGTACGGATCCGACCGATTTTTCATTAGAGGTCGGCAGCCCCCTTTTCTTTCTCCAACACTCTTTCTTCGACCTGGTGCTTTGGAAAGCAAGAGAGAGGTGGGGATCGTGTGGGGGGTCCGACAAAACTGTCTTTCCTGCTGTATGGATCGAGTTACGAGTGCTGACGGCAAACACCGAGCAAATTGATTGATCTTAGTGGCCAGAGGTCGGCGGTGAATAATACCCTTCTCTATGACTTCATCATCGTGAGCAACCCGGGCTGTCATTCTAAGATAGGCTTTTCTTCAAGGCTGCATGAAGACCATGGCGGATCACTGCATGCACCGGCCCTCCCGCCCTCTAATGTGCGTGACTGATGTACTTAAGGTATGGAGTGCAATACCCAAACAAGCCCACCTCTAGTACTTAGACATAGAAGTATACAAAAGTACCCAACCCAAGACCCCGAAACCAAAAGATATATATATCAAAACGCCACACCATTCCCATTCGCAACCCAGCCGCCAGCTCCCTCTTCTCCTCCGGCGTAATATACAAGCTAAGCGTATAATACCTCCCCTCAATCAACTCAGACTCACCCTTCGGATCCCCCGCCAAAACCAACCTCGTATGACCCGCAAACAGCAAACTAAACCACACCGGCTGCCCACTCCGATCCGCACCCTTCCAGTAATCCGCATTACATGACATGCTACTTACCGAACAGCAGTGGGTTGAATCCATTGCAACGGCCTAGGGGATATGTAACACGTCCTCCAGCACGATGACATGCGACGTCAGATCCTGCGGGCTTTTACATATGGTGAGATGGACAGTCCCGACGCCCGCAACGTGTAGCTCGTCGGTGGGATTGAAGATGTTGTTTTTCAGGCGCAGGTCGAAGGAGCGGTAGGTCGTGAATACGGCGCGGTCCCTAGCATAGTGACAGTTTCCAGATACGACCATTCAGTCATAGCAGATGCGGTTCGCGAGATGTGTAATTTTGTGTTTTCGGTGGGCTGCTCGGGCTCATCTTGGTCGGCGAGGAAGTCGTGGGTTCGCATGGTGGTCGTCATCAGGTTGACCTTGATTGGTGGGAGGGGTGATGCGCGGCCGAAGGAAGTTGGTTATGGGGGTCAATTGGGTTGGTGGTGGGGGATAACGAATGAAAGAACATGCGATAGGGACAGGTGGTAGTTGGACTTGGTGGCTGAAACGTTTGAAGACCGAACGAAGGCTCTAGAGAGAGAGGATTGATGTGAAACTGGTGCATTGGATGTATCTAACCCTGCCGGAACAAGGAAGTCCGGCAGTAATACAAACCTCAGCCCTGGAGATATGTAAGCGGTATAGTACGGCAGCATAATCTCACCGCTAAGGTTAACCGCATTGAAGCAAAGCCTCGGTAAAAGGTTTCCAGAATTCCAGTATCGCACGGATGATTGGCGGAAGGCAGCTCTACTGGAACCGTGACATGAACTAGGGCTAATGGAAGTTAAAGGTAACTTCAGGATGATGTCTTGTATCCACAATCGTCCTTGAGAGTTACGGACTAAGTTTTGAACTTTGAACTTTGAACACCAGAATCCTCTGGTGATACTCTCCCTGAGACACAACGAGGAGACTTCGCGACTCTCCAACTCACTGTTGTCGGCATCTGCCGAAAAAGGAATGGGCTCGGGATTTGAATCACTAGGTCCTAAATGGCCTTGAATGGTGGCAACACTACCGGAAAATCTCGGCGCTCGGATAGTGCAATTCCGGTTATGCAGGGGGAACACCGGTCTTGCTCTTAGCTTCCTTTTCTGGGCCTGTCGTTGCGGCCCAATGCAACTGTGCATTCATGCAGCTATCAGTTTTACTCGACGCTTTGACCGCAGCCTGACAGCGCTGTCATCAAGGTCTATTTAGTCTGTTTCCCCCACTAGCATGTTAAGGGTAAATGGTCAACCTAACGGATAGGTATTTCTTGGCAAGATTGTGCGATCTGAGTAGATGTAATACAAACGAATGGAATAGACGTCTTATGGCGCACCTTGCATGCAGATTCTTTATCTAGTAAGGTTACTGACTCAATTCTTCAGAATTGCGGATGCTATTAAAATACTTTTACCCGTTTAGGCAGTAGATGTAGAGAACCTTGAATATTCAATCATGTGTCCAGATTATTGTTGGAAGATATTGCGTTTGCCTGTGCTAGCCACAAACAAAGTCCTTCCCTTGCCTAATAAACCGCTCAATTACCCTTTCTTTATGTTGAATAGCGTCATTTGCTTGTAGCTGATTACACCCCCCCCCCCCCCCCTCCCCCCAAAACCATGCTTCCAAGTACCAGCAAAAAGACCCACCTCCTTGCCGTGCGAGGCTACGCAAGGAGCATATGATATTCAAGATTATAGATGGGATTGGTAAAGAAAGCGGCTACGTTGATCCACCGGTGGTGAAAAAGAGGGTCGCTCGGAAAAGAATCCCTTTCTGACTGTCTCAACGACCCGATCTACAAAGGAAAGTCAGGCGAGAATATCAGGTGTTGAGCTTCGTATCCACAGTAGTAGTCAATGAATTTTCCTGCATGCAGGCTAACCAGGCCGATCAAAGCCGGCGATATGGACAGGACTTGCCGAATATAACCTCAATATGGGCACCCCTGTGCAGTTATGATATTATTTTTAAAACCTTGGAAAGAGAAGTTCTTTGTTGACCGAACTCTATGTTGCCGAGTGGTCGCCGTATATTGAAGAGCTATATACATGTATCGAAACCGAGCTGGTTGTTGAGTTTCCACAACTCTCAGCCTCTTTATACAGAAAGTTCTCATTGGTCAAACGAAGAATCCCGAGAGCTCTATGGGAAAGCAAGTCAGTGGTAGGGTTTCCTTGCTAGTATGACGCACATGCTTCGGTTGTTGTCCGACGACGATATCCGGATCTAGATTGCGGGGAGAAGATGCGGTCTAACCATTGTGGCTTGAATTCCACCACAAGAGGGATACTATACTCGAACATCCTGTGGCAAGATTTGGTGAAACATCTTGGACTTGACGCGTGGGACTGCTAGGAAATAGCCTATGAGCGACAAATCACGCCGCCACCCACTGCATAATTATGGACTATGGCGAGTGCCCACCGCTAGTATTGTGTCATATTTGATAGCACTTGACGTGTCGAGGTGTACAGCCCGTTGCGATCCGTCTTTAAATAATGAGGTATTGTGGAGGCCTACTCTTCTCAGGCCCTTGTCTATCCCTTACTACAGGGGGATCAATATAGCAACCCTACACTGTATGTCCCAGACGATGTACGCTGTAATGGGGCCGTGCATAACCACAGATCGTTCGGAGTCACGAAGCATCAAACACTAGCGCTGTAGGTTGTAAAATGCGGTCGAACAGGCCTATAATATCGTGGTAAGGACTCGGAAATCGACGTTGCATCGCATATGTGCGGTTCTGACTCGGCCGATAAGGTTTCTTTCATCGTGTAAATTGTGTTTTTGTCCCCGTATTCACATCCGGCTAAGACTCATCAATCTCCTTACTCCCGTTAGGTCCGTAGAGCAGAGCGGTAATGGCGGCTCCAAGTTGGTGCTGGATACCAAAAGATGCGCATTGGTTATATTGAGATGAATGAAAGGTTTATACCGTGGACAATCATTAAATAACAAAGAAAATAGGGTTAAGAATAACCGCGGCTAAGCTCTACTCACAGTGCGCCCGAGAGTGTGATATAGTTGAGCAAATACTTGCCACCAGATTGGCGCGGCCATATGGCAAGTTAATTCTGCACGGATTAGGCATTAGTTTGACGCCACAGTCAAAGTTATGATTGGGATCAGTATCAGATCGCCATGCCAAATTACCCTAAGCATATCTTGGGCTTCACGCTCAGGACACCATTTGATCATAGCGTGAAGATCAATGGGGATCTCTATGCACAAATGCGAACTTCTGCAACTTCCTAGTCATTAGTCACTGATTACAATCTTCCCATAGTTATCATTGACTAAAGTATGCCCAAGGAGCTTCATTGTTTGTTGGGCCTGCAGAAAGCTTCATATCCTTGATCCACGATATGGTCCATATGGAGAATCTTAGGCCAATCTCATTGGCCTGGAACAATTGGCGCAAGGATCTTGGCAATGACAATTCACGATTACTAGCACGGACAAAGGAAAAAGGCACTAAAATAATAGTATGACTTCGATCGTAAGGTTTGTTGTCTCACTATCCATTTTTTTTTTTTTTTTTTTTTTTTATTTTATCTTTTTTTTTTTTTTTTTTTTTTTTTTTTTTTTTTTTTTTTTTTTTTTTTTTTTTTTTTTTTTTTTTTTTTTTTTAGTTACCCGCATGACAAGCCAGATAATTGAGAATTGGGGCGGAAAAGATCATCCAATGGGAGACCTAATCTGTAGAATCGGCAAATATTACTCCGTTTGTCTCTAGGGGGCTTTGCTTTGACGTGGACCGATGAGGGACGTATAGATCTCGATACTGTGTACAAGCATCCTGGCGATATATCGTCCAGTTACAGTAGACCTTTCCATTGATGGACCGGTGATCTGGTAGACTTTTGGAGAGTGGCAAATATGTGTAAGGCTACCCCGTGTGGGTGAGAGTGGAAATCTAGAATGGCGAATTAATTTATTTCCCACGTGAGACGTAGAAACGGTGGGGTTGTTGGTTTCCAATGATTTGAATTAAATCCCTGTAGGGCCCCCGTCTTTAAGGTACAGGAAGGAGGAGATCACAGGGTCGGGTAGAAAGATTGTACAATCAGTAGTGTTAGTTGGGGCTTCTAGACTTTGGTAGTCCGGGTGCTAAGTTAGGGCATGGAGAATGATCGGACAAGCTACAACCTTCCGCCCTATCAAATGATTCAGATCCGTAGTTCTAGGGCCGAAGGATTGCGTTGAAAGAGAATTTACTGCCTGTCAAGTGTCCCAGACCTGATTCTTGGGACCTATCAAGAGAACCGGAAGTCTTGAATTCCATTTGAGATGAAGATTTTGGGCAAATAGTATCGACGCTAGGGCAAGAAGTGGTGCGGGTCACGGGACCTGATTGGGTGGCTGTTGCTGCCGACACCGAGTGGAGATTTGAAGATCTGCAGGAGGAGAAAGAGCAGCTGTCGTGGGGCCGCGGAATTCGTCTGAAAACAAGATTTCCAGAATCATTCGGCGCGACTTCATTTCCTTAAGATGCGCCTGTACCAATTCGGGGTACTGCCGCTTCCACCACCATCTGTAGTCGAGGAAATCTGCACGTTATTATATATCTAACGCCACCCTTCATGCCTCTATCGCCTACCGTTTTGCCGCGCCATCCCGACCCCCGATCCATCGGCCCGCGCCTCTTCTCTTTATGTCCGATTCGAAGTCATCGTCGTCCTCGCCTCGTTCCCTTGCACCGGCTCTTGGTCAACCCCAAAGACGAACAAGTTCTAGTGACGATGTAGTCCGTGGGCGAAAACACAAGACCACCGCCTGTAGGGCTTGTAAGTTAAAAAAGCTCAAGGTGAGATTGCTCTCTGCTCGATCGCATTTGTTCGTCGTCTTCTCCCGCCCTTTGCCTTTTTCTATGTTTCGTTATAACTGGGACTATTGGGAACCGTCCTTGGTCGATCGGAATGCCAACACCACGGCTGATGTTGATAGTGTCGAGGTGATCCACCGTGTGAGCATTGCACTCTCAACGACATTGAATGTGCTGTGGATGAGATGGCGGATATGCGTCGAAAGTTTGCCATGAAGCGGAAGCTGGACCGACTGGAACAAGCGGAGGACACCTTGCTACACCTAATAGGTGCCTTACGAGGGAGTGAAAACACACGCATCGCACAATTACTAAACCTGATCCGGAGTAATGCTTCCTTTGATGAGATTGCAGTTTTCTTGGAGCAACAGTTTTCTCGAGCTGAGATTGAAAGATCACCCGAACTGCGCGAGTTCCGACGTCAGCTCTCCCGACCTTCAGACGAGGACGATGACGACGGGAACGAGGGTAATGCACCTCGGATTCCGCGGCGGATACTCGAGGTGCGCCGCCTCGCCGATATCCCAGTATACAAGGTCCCCGCGAAGCCCTGGACGACGGTCACAGACGATGACGATCTGGTGTCACACTTGGTGTCCTTGTGGTTAACATGGACTTACCCGTGGTTTGACTGGCTAGATAAGGATGCCTTCATTCGCGATATGCAGGCGGGGAATTTGAACTGTCGGTTCTGTTCGCCATTTCTGGTGAATGCTATCCTTTCCGAGGCGAGTGTACGTAGAGTAGTTTGTACTATTTAAATCCAATACACGAAGGATTTTATTGATCGGTGCAACTCGTCAGTATTTTTCCGACTACGCCGAAGTCTTTACCGTCCCCGGTGATATGTTCTCTCGCGGCGACCACTTCTACGAGGAAGCCCGGCGATTGCTCGAAGCAGAAGACGAGGAGGTCCCCAGCAGTATACCGACTATACAAGGCCTTGTTGTGCTATTTATACGGTCAGTTCGGGATGGCTTCTAGTGTGAGTTCTTGGCTAACATATTCCAGGCTTGTCTTGATGGGTAAGGATCGCGTGGGATGGATGTATATGGACCTCGCTGTGCGAGCCGGGAAGGAGTATGAATCTTCGCACCCACCTCTTCCTATCGAAACGGAATCGGTGCGACAGATCGAGAACGTGGCCAACCGAACATTGTGGGGAGTTTACAACATGGCTTTGTATGTGGAATCTCCCCATGCCGAAAGACAAAGCAAGCTGACGGTTGAAGGACGGCTGCAGTGTCCTTGATGAAACACATAGATATCAGCCCCCCTCCGCGACCGCGTGTGCCCATCAACCATGAAGATCCTCTCGATGTATGGTCTCCCTATCCTCAGCTGGTACAACCGGTACGGGGTTACCATAATTGCGTATTCGACCGGTGGTGTGATTTTTCTTTCATCACGCTCCGAATCAGCCGAGCTCTTCATGATCCCGATAACAGTCCACCTCAATGCGAGACCGCAGCTACTATCAATGACATATACCAGCAGCTACAGAGTTGGTACGCGAACTTACCGGAATGTCTACGCCTGGAAAATGCCGAGGTACCACATGTTTTGAGTTTACAGTCAGTCTACTCGATGAATCCAAGGCGTTATGAATTCCTTTCTTTTTTTTTAACCTTCTAACCTACCCCCTCTAGCCTATTTTACCACACAAATGTCATGCAAATCTTTGGATTCCTCCAATCAAATAGTGGCGACTTTATAGCCCCAGAAACTGCGAAAAATGCCAAAGACCTCTGCCTCTCGACAGCTAGACGTATCGCTCAGATCCTCAGTATCCACCGCGAGAAATGGGGCATCGACCGGCTGGCCCCCTCCACCGTCCAGTGGGCAAGTATCGGTCTTTTTACTCTTCTTGAAGCCCTCGACTCACCTGAGAATCGAAAGGCGTTCATTGAACTTTGTATTTTTGCCCGGGCTATGTCCCGACGCTTCGCTCTGGCCAAGGGCATTCTTCGCATGATCCAGGTAACCGCACAGCAGACGGAGGTATCCTTGCCGACGGAAACAGATGCCCTCTTCCTGGATTTTGAGACACAGACGTGGCGTGAAAGGGATTCCCTGTCGTTTAGTAGTTTTTATCCACACTTTTTGACAGTAATCCGACAGGGAAAGGTTCGACAATCTGACGTGAGTATGGATCTGTTTCTGGAGAAATGGGATAACTTAATATCGGCGACGGACCACCCAAGAAGGAAAGGGAAGAGTGAACCATTGTGGGATAAGAGTGGTTGATTTACGTGTTATGACCGTCAAACTAGCATCAAGAACTTGCGCGATTGTACAGCGCCTTAATAGACTGAGGAATTACCTGCGCCACATAGCTTCCATCGCGTTCCTTTCCGTTCTCTTACTTTTTCACCACCTCCATATTCCCTAATCTTCTCTCTCTCTCTCTCTCTCTCTCAGATAATCTAGCAAACTCTCCTACCTAAACCATAGCAAGCCCTTCCATATCAGAGAGCCAGTTTCTAGGCCTATGGCAAAAGTACAAGCTCTTCCATTTTAGAAAATCATTTTGATATCATAAGCGATGGCCACCAAGCTCGCTGATTGTCCCACTCGCTTAATGCCAACTCCACATAAAGCCCCAACACCATAACAAACTCGAAGTAAGCTCTATATAACCTCCAATAAAATGACCCTCTAAGCAACCTCCGTAAATAGATCCTACCTACATATCTCCCAAGGCCAAAATACAATGGAAGAAGAAAAAGACCACCCCTGCCAACCCGACCCTCCCAAACCCGCACCCTCTCAGAGGAAAACCCCACCACCCAAGACCTATCTCAACGACACCAGTAAACATCAAGACCAAGACCAAGGTCAACGTGACCACAATGAACCAGATCCAAATCCTCCACCACCAGCATATACCCCAACAGTCCTAATTCAAAACCAAACAACTCACTCCGCCTACCGACCCTCCTCCATCCTCCCCAAACCAGTAGTCATACCCGGGTACGCCCCACCCAGGATGAAAGAAAACCAAAACGATTTGAGGGACCAGGTCTTGAGAGCCAATAAGAATATGCAGACCGCAATAACGTGCGTTGTCAAAGATGCATTAATTTTAGAAACATAATCATAAGTAGGAGAAATAAAAAGAGAGGAAATAAAGGCAAATTAATTATAACAACAGGATTGATGGAAATACAACGGCGCAATATATGTTATAAAGAATTGATGAGGCGGGAGGAAGTGGTAATGGGGAAAGAGGTATTGTGTGGGACATAAGCTCTTTCACAGAGGGAAGTGAGACAACAAAGAGTGAGCTCGTAAGAATAAGAGATGGTACACTTGCTCAGGTCCTCTACGACTTACCTGTGGGTGATCCTTCCAAGGTTGCCGATCGCGTACCTGTATGCAAATGTCAGGCACTACACTACGACGGGGAACAGCGCCAGTATAGAATAGGCTGGTAAGCCAAGCAACAGCGAATCTTGTACTGACTGAGAGGGCGGAGACAGTTGAGATGCATTTCCTAGTAGTCTTCGCTTCAATTTCCCCTGCCAACCGATCTCCCGTTCCTTTAATGTCTGTCGTACAATCCTATCATTGGGCTATCTAGGAGAACTTTTGCTAATCGATCAATAATTTTTGGCAGACTCACATCCTCAAGATAAATTACCCCTATAGTTCAGCTGTCATGTTCTTGGGTTCCTTGACATAACTCGCTATGAAGCTTCCAGTAGTTTCTCCTAGGCGGTCGAAGAGACTGCATTGCGCGTAAAGTTTCTTCCGTCGCCGAATAACCGGTACACACAAATGGAATCTTAAGGTTTGAATGGGCACTCTACTAGGCTCTTTGAGAATATTTAAGCATGGGTAACCGGGACAAGAAATAAAACATGGCAGAAGCACAAGAGTGATTCGATAGAACATTAAGGTAGGATCGATGCCTGTGAAACGAAATCCAGATGATCTGCCGCGGGAGTTAAGTTGGCGGCACTTGCTGTACACTCTATTTTTTTTTTTTTTTTTCATTTACCCAGACCCCTCACTTTGAAGCGATATGTGGGCTACCACTACTTTAGCTATCCCTGGATGTCTATTTACATGCACCACTGCATGCGAACGAATTTAGAGCCCCGTCAGGGCCTGCCGTGGCCTATTTGCCTGTGTTTCTCGTCATGGTGGGCCAACGGAAAGGCTTCGATGAGTTCTATCGGCTTCAATCCTCGATACTCTACAATAGCCAGCTCAAAGCCAGCCATCAAATACTTGTTCATCGTAATCTAGATAGTGACATTCCAGGTTGTAAAGATGGCTAAGTTTCTCGTTGATCTAGGCCTCGTGAAGAACATCATTACAGTCTCTTCGAGGTAGTTCTTTTGAGGATATTGTATTTTCTTGGCGATATAGCAAGTCCACATTTAGGATCAAAAGGAGTAAGTTTGAAATTTATTGTAAACTTATTTTGTATATTTCCTATTTCGTACTCACTTGCAGCTCTCCTCCAAAACTGCTGCTGGTGAAAGCCGACCTGGAGAATGACTTTAGCCAATGAGATCATGCCTTTCTGAGAGACCGTCTGTAGGAATTACGACTTTGGTAGGATGGCTGGTGGTTGGGTTGTTCAGAATTTCGCTTCTATGTGGATTACGTAAGCTTGACTGCTCGCATGTGAGCTATGCTAGCGCAACTCCAGACAAGTATGGTCTGTCTGAGTGGTGAGGGAGTTTGGTGTTTGACCGAAAGGACGAGCAAGAGGGGTAATTAATTGCAAGACTCAGCTGAATCAGCTATCTGCGTTAGAATGTTCCAACATCAAATACTTTTAGTTTTATGATTTCGAACTCCCTTAAAGATCATCGAAATCTAACATGCAGAAATCATCTAAGGAAGAGTTTACAAATGCCAGTACTCTGCAACAGTCATCGCAGCCGACCCTACCAACCCTACAAGAGGTGTTAAACATGACTGCTCCAGCCCCCTATACACTCGATTCTTTCGTTGAATTTTTGTCGCGGAACGACCATCTTCAGCCACTCGAGTTCATGTTGGAAGCGAGAAGATACAAGACAAGCTATTGCGGAGTTTTCCAGCAGGCTGGAGAGTTGCAAACGCCGAGTCAGCGCCAACTGCAGCATTTAGCCATACTTTGGGAGCGCTTAGTCTCTATTTACATTTTACCTGGGTCACAATGCGACGTCAAATTGGCAGATGACGCACTAAACCGTCTACAGAGATATGTGGATATGCCTAGTGTGCCGCCTATCGAGATAAGCGACTTCACCCTAAAGCAAGTGCATGATAAGATGGCTGGATTGATATTCTTACTGTTTCTAAACGAACGTACCTCGCTTAATTGACAATAAAATTTACGGTGGGTGCAAGCTGTCAACCTTCGGTCATGATGCTCAGTTGGGTTTCGCGCGCCGCAAAGAAATGTTATTGCGTCGCTTGGGTGAGTCCAGGGTGGAAACTTTCACAATTACATGAAAAGGTGCTGAGGTCAACCATTTCATTAGCTTAGCGAATACTAATGCCGATTCAACGACTTCAATCGCCCTCCAAAACAGCAACCGGTTGCTTGATTTATTCCTCTCTTTGTCATAAACTTCTTTTTCATCAATCCATGGAAGTGCAGGTTATGTGGGGCTACGGCTCGGCACTTTTTGCATATGATATGGGAAACTTCATGAGAAGTCAATGTTTTGCTGCTCTGGTCAAGAAATCTTGGCTGAATTGCGACAGCATCTTAACGTACCTCTAGAATCTATTTTAGATCGTTCGGTTACGACTTTGCATGTGATGTCACGCTTAGCAGCACAATGCGGACTTGTGGAGACCGTCCAAAGGTGATACCAGAGTATACAACCAATTTCGCAGTTGTCAGCATTATGGCCAAGCTTCAGTTCCAAGATCATCATAAAAGCATTTTTATGATTTTATTCTATGTTTATTTTATACCAGAAATAAATGCCGCCCTTCAAGATAAACAGTCACTTGAAGTTTGGAGCCCAATTCTCGTCGCCGTGGTGTACAGGTGGAACCCCGGAGGAGCGCCACTTGAACCACTTCAGGTGCCCACCTATTGTTCTCACCCCCTCAATATCCACAGCCGTCATTGGATGGCCAGATTCCCCTTGCAAGGCCCAGACCAAAAAGGGTGAGAAGTTTTCTACCCTGATTCCCATAACCCATGTTACCGATTAACTAACGTAAGCGGCCGGTGATTTATAATGAGAGGCAAAAATAATGCGGAGTCACGTCACGTGTCGACGAAGACGGGAAAATAGATGTGGCGGAGGGCTGGGGTGAAATTTGAGCACCAATCTGACAGTTGCTGGGCTCTGTATACATACCGTAACTTGACGGATAAAATTTCTGGAACAGCGGATTCTGCGAGGGTCTCGTCCAATAATTCATTATAGGTCGTTCTCAAGAATATGAAGGAGTAAGAGAATCCTGTCAACGGGGAAATGCAGTGACGATCCAAGCATACTTTTCTGACTGGCGGAATAGAGGCGCGAATCCGTTCTTAGAAGGACTTCAATTACCACTCCACATTCCAATACGCGATAATCATGCCGAGGCTGCTGCAACGTTGATCGATCAAGGAGTACCGTTAAGTCAACATATGTTTCTCCATGCGACACGGCTCAAGTCTTATGTGATTCTTAAAGCATTCATCCATAGAGGTTGGGATATCAACGCATGCCTCGATTACTGGACACCTCCAGCTCTTGCGTAAGGCTTGATCAGGCTTCAACATGCAAAATTTCTAACGTAAGGCAGCTTTGCTTTGGATGACGAGACTAGTGTGAATTGGTTTTTGGAGAATGGCGCTAACCCTGACGCGCAATGCGACAGCGGCTGTACACCATTGTCAATGGCAGTCAAAGTGGCGCCAATGGAGACCATCAAACTCCTACTAAGCCGCGGTGGCACTATTAAACATGGCTGGCTGCTGCACTACGTTGCGATGCGAGAGTTGGCGGATTGCCTTGAGGTTCTGGATCATCTCCTTGGGCGGGGTCTTCTTGTGAACAACGTGATGTACAGAGCCTTGGGCACTGGTACAGGATCAGCCTTACATTTCGCCGCTGGGAGGGGACAGTTAGATATAGTGAAGCGTCTTGTTGAAAAGGGTGCCGATCCACTAGTTAGGGATCCAACTGGACAACTGGCGATCCACTGGGCACAAAACCGTGACTACGAATCAGTTGTTGACTTTCTTCGACCACTCTCCATATTTGGTTAACATATGATGGTATCGTTGATGTCAACAACCAACGTAAAGTTCTAACGCCAGTAGCGCTTGGAAACAATAATGAGATTCATGAAATTTACAAAGAGTAAAGATAATTAGGCCAATAGTCACGATAATTACAATACACGACTAGGCCTGTATAGTGTATTGCGCGTCAAGTGGATGATAATATACTTTCAACACTATGAGCTCGATGATCCAGCGAACATAATGGGGAAATAATACACCAGAGCGGGTCCTCTTTGCTCAGATAGATGGCCGATTTAAAGTGGGCTCACTAAATGTGAGCCCCCACAGTCATAGCCGTAATTGTTCCTTGGCGTCTGTTCCGGGACTTTTTGATATTGTTGGGCGCATGAACAACGGGTTACCCAAGAAGTTCCCGCTCTGATAGGATAGTTGGCATGGGCATCGATGGCCATGGAAGGTAGTCCACCCAGGCGGGATGTGGAGTCAGCAACTGTGACTGACTTGGTATCAGCCAACTCGGCATGCGATTATAGTTTTCTTCAGTTGGATGAATCTGGTATCGAAGAAGGAGGAATATCACATGGAAAATAGCGACCTGTTCCGGTAGCGGTAGCCTTTGATTTGCCCCCGGAATGGAGCCCAGGATCTTCTCAAAAACCTTGGCGATCGAAGGGATGCTACTCTCATTCGCCGGGCTGAGAAGCGAGGAGATCTGTAGACAGCTAGAATCTGCTCTCTTCTTCCTGAAACTGTGTTTGACCACCCCAACCCGACGATTACTGATGAAATCCAATACTATGATATCGAAATCGCACGTCGGAGCAGTATGGTTAAGTGGCATAGCAAACATGGCCTCGGAATGTGCCATTCCAGGTCTTGGTAGTGGCATACTCGATGAAAAGTTTCTTGAAGGCCCTGACGTGGGTGACAGTAGACGGCAACAAATTGTTTTGTAACCCTGCTGACGACAATCGTAATTGCTGGAGCTGGTCAGCTCAGGAGGGGTGTCCTCATGTCGGTGTTCAGATGTACCATGGGGAAATGGGTTCGCGTTTGAGGCGGCGTCGTCGTACTGTCGGAGATGGTTTTCGCTTTCACGAGTGTAGTGAGCGCGGTCTCCGGGGTTTGACGACTTTGTTGTCTGGAGTACGGAACGCCACCAAGTGCTATACATTGAGAAGGGTTTGACTGTTGTATCTATAGGCACTATCCTTAATCAGCATCATCCATGCCAGTCGAAGGTAAAACACATGGCCTTAACTGCCGCAGGATTCTGACGGCTTCCTGGCCGATTCGAGAAGGATATCCATGATCGTCTTGACACTGTCAAGCATTTTCTGATTTTCCACCTCGAGCACTTCATTCTGCTCGGAAACGAGCCGTAGGTCAGTGTGTGGCCATGTGGAGGAAATATCGCGCACGCGTAACTCAAGAGAATTGATAAGTGCGCGTCGGCGCTCGCGAGCATTTGCTGCGCCAAGCGGTCATTTGCTCGCTTTTTCGCCAACTGAAGCGGCGTAAGGCCATGAACTCTTCTAGCAGGGACGCAGGCCAGAGTAGGTCTGGTGTCGGTCAAGGGGAGATCAGTCGGTTTAGGAGCGGCTGCCTCACTAGTGCAAGTAGTAACAGGGTCGTCTTTGTCTTCCATGGTTTCAGACGGTAAAGTCGTTCGGATCGATCCGCAGGATTTCATGGCGTAAGAAGGTTCACGAGCTGATGGATGAATAAAGCGCGGAATGTTCATCAACGCGAAGCTGCGGCTGTCCACTTCAGCCCAGCCGGCTCGGGACGATCCTCCGTAGTACGGAGGCCTATAGCGGCCACTCCGCAACAACGGGTCTCCTTGCTAAGTCCATTTACCGCTTTCTCGGCCGCTTCCCTATTTACCCATCGGGTCAGTCTGCTACTTTAATAGAATGAAGACTATGTGGAACTGGCCAATCTGATGGAAAAAGGCAATCCAGAAGCAAAAGGATACGGGCCGTTCCGCCACACCCTGGAAGTGAGTAAAGTGAAGGACTGCTACTGGGACAAGCAATCTGGAGAGGGTGAGGTGGGGTGGAGTTCCCGGGCCACTGCTGAAGTTTCTGGTGGCATGGCTGCTACTCCGGTCGATGTGTCAGTCCAAATGAAGCGCAGCACTTCGTCGACCGGCAGTGCAGCCAGCCCTCATTACCGGCTCGGTGGTGCGCAATACAAGCTTAAGAATCCTTTCAAGCATGAAATGATGGATTGGGTGGACGAGAACACGGCAAAGATTTATCAAGCCCTGGCGTCGTCGCCACGAGATCGGAGATCGTGGGCTGATCGTGATTATGGGTGTTTGGTTCACCGATGAGTGTGCGGTCAAGCTCTATGGGAAAAAAACGCAATGTTGATTTGTCGCTGGACTTGGGAGCTATGGGAATCGGTAAGGTAGGCGGCGGTATTGGGGCTTATGATAAGCTCAGCTGAGAAAACTGGTCCACATACCCTTCAGGAAAGGTAATTGCAGACGGTTTCCCCCTTCGCAACTTGCCATCAGGACTGGGACTGGATCGTTAATAGCGTGCAGACCAAGGATGGCTACGTCGTCTCGTTTGCAGGCGTGGAATACTCTCTCAAGTGGCTCGCTAAGAATCGCAGCGTGGCACGTGCCTTTTTTCTATGGGATACTTGCTGTGAATACTAAATAACAGAACTAATCCAGCCTGTCGACGTAGAGAGATATACAGTCAATATGCCGCTTCCAAAACCCGGGCCGATTGACACTACACCAATCATTACAACTCAGACCTGGGGCAAGCAGACAGCCGAGGAACAAAAGACGGTAGAGCCAGAAGCCGATAGCGAGGGAGAGGATGCGAGAGAAAGCACTGTAATGCGTTTGGGATGGATGATAAGTGATGATGAGGCAGAGGAGGGGTATGCACAGCGGCAACAAGATGCGAAGATAATGGTCATCGAGAAGCTGGCGCAAATTCGGCAGATTGAAAACGAAGAGCAGAAAAAAGAGGGGATGAAGAATTTGGTGGAGGGGGATCCGCAGACTCGGGCTATTATCGCGAAGTTGTATCTGACATAGGCTTAAACTGGATCTTTCAAGTGTGCTAAGCTCTTGGATATATGCGTTTTTATTGGTTGGTTGTCTGGACGCGTCCATTAGAGGGAAGATCAATCGGATTTGTGTAATGTGACCCTCGGTTGCATATCACATTATACAATTTCTCAAGAGAAGTGTCTGTCTGCTGATACGAGCAGCGTTTCTTTGCTATCTAAGCTGGTTATTTACTATATTGGTCGTCCGAGTATAGAGAGTTCCCCATACCGCGCTTGCCCCTAGCGCTGTATCACGAATAGGCCACTTCATCTTTACTTGTCAGGGCGCTTGATTATGTGAATTATATCCCGGCTTGGCCTTGTATGTAGCTTTGTGTGCAAGAACTAATACCTTTCATGCCTATCTTTCATGTCCTTGTTATGTGCTTTAACTCCTTCCTCATCTTGTTTACTGCCTAATTCACCACTCGGAGTTAGGCCCTTCTCGGTAATCCTTAAGGCTATAATATTTCTGATGTCTTCTACTGCTTTTGGCGTCTGCGAACGACTGATCTGGAGGACTTTCAGGCGAGGGTTCTATTTTCCGTGTTAGCAAACTTTTGAATATCACTGGAAAATTTCATCATTTCTTCTACCATTATATATCCACCCCTTATCAGATGCTCTGTACTCTCTCTTGAGACGCCCAGTGACTAACCTTGATTTTTGACATCTTTCTCAACGACTCTATCTTTGACCAAGTCACTCCTACTTGATTTTCCATCCTTGGATGTTTTATCCTGGGAGCTAGCATAATGGCGAATCGATTCAGCAATAGAGGCACTATAGGTTGAGGAAGGAATACTGATCTGGCGGTATATTGGTGCCATATATAGTCGACGTATGATACGCATATCCATCGGTAACCCTTTCTGAAAGTAACAGGAGAAAATGCGGCCATATAATATAGTTCAGATGGGAGCGAGTTTGTTTCCAAAAATCGGGTGTATTATAATAATTGTGGCAAAAGGCTCTGTGAGCCAAAGAAAATCTTGACTATTTGATTGGATATGTAACTGCGTACAATATTACGTTAATATCAACTGGATATGTTTTCTCTTAAGGTGACCTGCGTGCTGCGAGCTAACCACCCTCAAGGGCGAGTGAGAATAACCTCTAGGTATAATTATCCCCACTTTTAAAACTGGGGTATTGAAGGAGTAATATCTCGAACAGTATTATTGCTCCGCGAAAGTTTGTTTTGGGATTACAACATAACCATGGAATCCAGACGCAGTATGTCCAGTATGACGCGCCTCTGACGGGGCTTATGAGCACCAATCAACTATGTCTTTCCGCATCAGATTAACTTTAACCAAGCCATAGAAACGCCCAGAGTAGTGGTCAGGGTATTAATGCAGACTTTCTCTGAACTAAAAAGCTAGTGCAGTAGCTGACCTAGGGTAGCAGGTAATCCATTCAGATGATGACGTCAATGTCGTGGATTTGGCGACTAGAAAAGGTAGTTTGCGTTGGAATTATTCACGAGGTGCAGAAAGCTTTGGTAGACATGTTGATGCTCAAATCAGATGCTTCTACAAATATGGCAGACATTGATATCATTTTACAAGCATAGTTTCAGCATTGCCTGCCTTTTGCTCGTTTCCCGAGGTACCGACCGTATATCAAAATCGTTGCCGCCATAGGAAGTATCTACCGGTGTGGCGAGGGCAGTAGTTAACATGCATGACGTAGCTTCGTGGATTCCATCCAGTGGCACCGGCTTTCTTGATAATATATTTAATAAGGCGATCATCCCCTTGTCACGCACAACTTTTGCAGTACCGATACCGTCTCCTTCAAGAAATCTCATACCACCAGTCATGAGTATTAACACTGTTTCTAGAAGCAATTCTCTATACTGATATTTCTTGAAAAATAAATCGAGCTGCTCTAAGTGTCAAGATGGACGTGCACACTGCGTCCAACTCTCACGAGTGTTGGGAAATCCTTCCAACATGCAATATCCTCGGCCATGCAGTGAACATGTTATTGCCATGTATGGTGTAGTATATGTCCCTCTTAAGTCACATAGGATTGCTGATCGTAGCTTAAAGATATTGATCCATTCGATTACAAAACCGTCCTCGAAAACAGCTCCCAAAGGTCAGTTGTTAAGATGGCCAAAACTGGAACGACAGTCCAGCTACCAGGGGATGAAAAGTTATACCTGCTCCCGGAAAATGTTAGCTACAGGTATCTTGGCACTAATTCCTCGAGGAACGACCTTATCTGCGAAATGGGATCGGAACTAGCTCCCAAGTTAGGGATGAATATGAGTTTAAGCGGTCGCTACGCTGGTATCTCTATATTATCCAACTCGCAGCACAGTTATGAGCCTTCTTTGCAATTTAATAGTCTCTATGGTATATACAGCCTCGATCAACAGTCCTACAGGCTATATCTAGATCGAGATCGATGTTACAGTTTTATAAATCCGGACTTTATAAATGCCGCGGAACAGATGCCTTTCTGGGACGAGAGTCTGGCTACATACCAAGTGTTCAAGTCATTTTTTGAAGTCTGGGGCACCCATCTCGTGGTACAGTGTCATATGGGCAGTCGATATCAACTCAAGGTTGAGCGTGAGCAGGCCTCGCATAACATGCGAGATGAGTTCACTGCGCACATCAAAGCGGAATATCAGGGAATAATGGGTGACAGCTACGGGGTGGACAACGAGGACGAATATAGGCAGCATTTGAAGATGCGTAGAACCCAGTGCAAAGTGCTCGGAGGTGATGCTGGATACGCTGCAATTTTGGCGAACGATCCCGCCAGCAAAGAAGCCTTCCAGAATTGGCAATCGAACCGTTGCCACACAACAGACGCTATGACGAACAATCAGGTCCAGAGACTCGACACATTCTTGCAAGGGAGCAGTAACTCTCTCCAAAAGAGGATTGGTGAAAATCTGGCGCCAGCACTTGACTATTTCTGCAATTTCATGGAATTGACGGGAAAGCTCAAGTTCATTCCAGTTTCAGCTCGAAACGAAAGGTTACAATGGGCAGAATGTAAGATTACCTATCTCCCAGGCATGGAACTTATACCGGAGAACAAAATGGGCTGGAGGGTCACGAGAATATCGCCGGCACATGTGAAATATGAGCAATGCAACTCGGATGAAGATTATCTTGAAGCTTCGATTACTATCCGAGGGCCAACTCATATAGTTGATATTTTGTTCAACGGGGGATTGGAAAATGGCTCGGCAAGCCTTTTTCGGTACCTTCTTCTCTCAAGTCATGGGCCAAAGCCTGATCAGTTTTGTACCCGTGTGATTTCAAAGAAGCCCACAGGACATGAGAGTGTCGTCCACGTTTCACCGTCTTTAAAAACATGGGGTGACTTTTTGGAATCCGAATCGGTAGCTTATAAACAAGGGTTGGAACATAGCAAGGAGCATAGGATAGGGGAAATTCTTCTAAGGGCTCGTTGATCCAGTATGGCCTCACGAAACAACCAAATATCATAGGGACAGCTAACAGTATACTACTGCAATTTACCCCAAAGAAGACGGTAAAAGGATGGATAATTTGCTTTACAATGGTACTTTATACGCGGATCTAATTGGTTGATTTCCTGTCAGAAGGCTAGCAACACTTTTTGCTCATAGGTACGTATCAAAATCTAGAACACAGCTTGCATAGGAATACGTTCCCGTTTTCGCGGTGGGTTTCCATAGTAAAGAAACGCGCGTAGCTTAATGAAGCGCCGGTAAATAGTTTCATGTGAACACTTATGACTATGAATATCCATGTCTCACTGTTTTCGCTCTGCAATCGAGACATCAGCGCAAATATCTCTTTTGATATACGTACGATAGAATAGGACCAATACTTCAGCATTTGAAATAGTCAATATATTCGACCGTGCTAGCGATTGATCATGTGCAATTGTCGTTGATTAGGCTACCATTATTGCAACGTGTGATCACCCCATGACCTCGATACAGATTATAGAATATCCAGAGACTATTCGATTCATAATGCATATTCAACTTCAACACAAACCATAGGTCTAAATTGACTACCACCCATACCACCGACCACATCTGAAAACATATAAGCTATTGCAAAAATCCAGCACGAAAATGTGTTTTCCCCCTGCCTACCCTATCCAACTATATCATAAGATCGAAAGAGTATCTCCAACAAGAGCACCATGACCTTTTAGAAAGCTGCTGACGATCCCACAAGCCATAGCCACAGTTCTCAAAGGGTACAGAGGGGTATCATCCCCGCTAGGGAATGCGCGTTTAGGAGGGAGTTTTTCGAGTCACTTGCAGCCCAAAAGTCCAGTGCTTTGATCTCCAATAACCATAATGTTAACCGCAACTATTATAGTTTATTTTTTCTATATTTATTTTGATTGTATTAAGGTTTGAATACCACCACAGTGTTTGAATGCCTTCTAAGCCATTATATCATTGAAGCCCAAGCAAATACCAGGGCTACGTCCTAGCTACTCAAATCTATGAAGCCTGACCTTGATGGAGTGGACCAGACACATTACCAAATCGCATGGTGATGCCCTTTTAGGCGCAGAATCGAGTTTGTTTCGCAACCTTTGCTTCAGGGAGAACTTTGTGTTACTACTATGCAGTAGGAAGCCCGATGCGAGAAGATAAGAAGGTTAATTATCACAGTTTTGATGGGAAGAACCCCATGTAATGGTTTTGTTCAAGCCTACGCCTATACTCTACTTCATTAGTATCCAAATCTAAGATTCAGAATTCTAGAGATGAGGATCCCAGGCATGCTCGCTTGACTAAATGATCATCTGTGTACAGATCCAACGCCTAGGGACTAGTATCGTAACAGTAACAGATGATAGATCGAGAAACACACTCTTTTTCTCACCCTGTGCTACGAAATATATACAAGAAGGGTGAAAGATATGTCTACATAGAAGCACACGAATGTAGTCCTTATCAACATAATCTTTAATGTTGATCGAACGTGAGTGTGTATTATCCTCGCCACAATTTGTATTACCAGAGAAACATGGGTCATGAGCTCTGAAGAATCAGAAGGAGGTGTCGGTATATTAGCAGAAATGCAGGGAGCAGCTTTTGCATCGTCGCCGAATATTATCAACTGGTTTCAACTCTGACAATTATTATTCCGAAAAGATCTCTGATCACACTCACTGAAATATGGCTCATCCTTCGTAGGTCTGGCCTGGCAAACTCGCGATTCAATCCATGCCCCATATGTCACATAAGGCAATAGCTCGTTAGCAGCGAGAGAAACTGAAGTTTCCTTTTTGTTCACTAAGTATACTCAGGTCGATATCCGGATGCTGAACGTTACCTGTTTTCTCAGTTAAATTCACTCGTTCGTTAAATTACATAGACGTAATGGGCGAAGCGTAGCGTATATTGTGGGATTCAAAACTCTCTCGCACTGCGTGATAATGACGCTGATGGCGTCTAGTATATTTCTACCAAATAACTAAACCTTCTGATCTTGCCATAATATGTGTTTACACGGCTGTGCAATTATCCTTGATCCGGCCCACACCATAAGCCATGCCCCATATGATGTACTTCTGTTTCTTTCTAGAGTGATTTTAGATCAAGCAACCTTGGATCGGAATACGAAACATAACTCCTAGCATTGCAGCCATTTGATCGTGAGAGGTTCTAATCTCCTGGTAACCGTAGCTGTATCTTCTTTCCACTGCTGCTTATCTGCATACATGTACAACTGGGGAGTTCGTGGGTTTGCCCTGGGAGGGAGAAGTTTGGGAAGGGGGCGTTAGGCTGAATCTCCGACCTCGTACAAGATTGGTCATTTCAGTGCCGGAAGTCATCCTCGAGTTCCGAATCAACGTGGCCAACGTAGAGCTCAAAACTCCAGGTCCATTATGGTTGCCCTTGAGGAAAATTCGCCTGAAGTCGGAACATTTCGTTTCTGACACTAAACGTGAGGAAATTGTAGTGGAACCTGTGAGTAGGCTGTACTACATTAAGAAGACAGCAATGAAGTATATATATATATATACATATATACGGCAGGCAGTTAAGGCAAAGAAGTGTAGAATTAGACTAGAAAATGCCCTTTGCAATATCTTCCTCAAACCGTTATGAGTTAGCCACACCCCATAGTATTCTTCGTATTCGGCCATCTTCAGTGATAGAGGTAAGTGGAGTAGCAGATATTCATACTTGCACACGGAATCGGCCCAGGGTCTCCCTGGTATCTTAAAACGGTTTTCTAGTCAATGAGGGCAGCAGTTATCTTCCCTTAATTGCTCCGAAATAGCGGGTTCAGTATCGTTTTTGGCCGTTGCCCACTGAAGGCAATTCTCACAGCGGCTGCAAACCCTACAATAGAGTCCATATCCACACATCTCCCAACGCAAACAACGGAGGAAGTGATAAAGTTTCTTAATCCGTATCACCTGTCCAGCTTGATATATGTCTTCCCAGACACCGCAAGCGGGGCAGATTCGACGATTATTTCGAACGTGTTGTTTCCCCCTTTTACCCTTTACTTTGTTTGTTGGCAAACTCACCCTTAGAACGAAGCTTGTGACAGCGGCTACTAGCAAAATAATCCTCGTACCTATTATTGTTAGCATTCTATTACGGTGCAACCATAAGTTCCCGATCGTGTGATACAACCTTCTCCACGTCCCTGTAACACACAACTATGATAACTTTTGCTCCACTGTTATAGGCCTTTCAACCTCAAGCGCATTCTCTGTAGCCCGTCAATGTCGGTACAATCAGCAAAGATGATCCTTAGGACGGGGCAGCTTGGAAAATTCCATGCGGTCCCGCCCACGGTACTCCAATATAACTACTAGACGAGTGATTATTGCTAAACAGAAGCAGAAGAGGGCTAGGAAAGGCCTGACAAATCAAAGATACAGAGCAGCCATTAGAGCTATCAGTAGGGTGAAGCTGTCGTGAGCAGGAGGAAGAGACTCTGGCAGGAGCGACTTGATTTCTGGATGCAAGTGTGAACACCTGTTTTTATGGGTGTACGCTGCTGCATAGCTGTCTGACAGTAGATTTTCCCACTAGACTAAAATACGAATCCGTACTCAGACTAGTGGGTAAGGTTTACAACTCTCACCCGTAGTATGAACTTAGGCTTACGGTAGAAACCAAAGGCAATAGTAGATTGGCAGCAAACTTACGCTAACAGTATAAGCTTAGGACAACAGTATGAACCGGGGAATATCAACGCTCAAAATCAAGCTTGTGTCTTGGCAACGGGGCAGAAAAACACTAATCATATGTTTGTTCTGAAATGACCTCTCGACCACTACCGAGCAATGGGTGAATGTCACATGATTAGAGGCGAAAGTCGCGCCTTTCCAGCTTTAGACTGTCTCGCTTATGTTCAAATGTTGGCATATTCAAAATTGCTGACTCTGACAATTATGCTAACAGCTAACCATAGACAGAATGAACTTTTGATCTTTCTGACCCTAAGCCACAAGGTCTGAAGCCTTGGAACTGGGTCTCTGATCCTTGCACGCACCACCTCCATATATACAGCTACTTTTTGAAAGCCATGCTGTTAGCTTAAGAATTAAACTGTATAACCGGTTTTCCAATCTTGTGAGTAGAAAACCTTTCATATGCGCGGGGCACCTCATCAAGACTATACAAAACCTCGTCAATAATAAAGCTTGGCTTTGCCTTACCACTCTCAATCAACTTCTGTAGCATAGGTTGTAATTTTTGTATCTCAGCCACGCCGCCTCGAATTGATAGACCCTTGAACCAAAGAAGTCCTATAAGCACGGGAAATTTTCCTTGTTTATCTGTAGCTAGAGGCGTTCCTGCTGTTGAGCCTGGATATGGAGGGTATACACCATAAAGGCCAATCCCTCCTGTCGCCTCCGTAACCTTGATACAATCATTCAAGACTAGGTTCTCTTCCGGCTCGAGCTTGCTATTCACACACTCAAACCCAACGCAGTCAATGCTGCGACGCACACCCCGCGGCTCGCGTTTTAGAATTTGTTCAACAGGGTCGTTCTTGGTGAAATCAATAGGGATAGCGCCTATCGAGGCTGCTTTCTCTAGTCGAGAAGGAACATAGTCAACCGAGTAGACCGTGGTTGCCCCACGTAGTATAGCCGAGTAGGCAGATAGCAGACCTAGTGGACCAGCGCCAAAGACTGCGACCGTATCTCCCGCTTCGAACCCTGCGCAGTCAAGTGCGTGCCAGGCTGATGGGAAAATGTCGCTGAGGATGATATAGTCGAGGTCATGCTCTGTTGTTGGAGGAAGCTTGAGACAAGATGAGTCCGCAAATGGAACACGAATGTACTCCGCTTAGGAATTTTGTAAGCATAGAGCCTGCTTGTGTGAATTTAAGCAGACAGAGCCGAAGGATACATACCTTGAGCACCGCCTAGATTTGGCCCAAAGTCTTCTCCAAACCCCGGAAAATCAACGAGAGTAGGCGGATTGAATGTGAGGCAATAGGTAAGGCAGCCACGGTGGCAATTTTCACAGTATCCACAGTAAATCGCTCCGGGAGCCAGCACCCGATCTCCGACCTTGAGGGATTTTACACCCTCTCCTACTTCCACAATCGTGCCGAGTCCTTCGTGACCCATGATCCACGGGGGAGTTTTGCTGCCGAAGAGGCCGTGATACATGTGTATATCTGTTCCACAGATTGCGGCTGTTGTGATACGAATAACAATGTCGTTTGCATCCATAATATGAGGAATAGGCTGGTTCTTCAAGGCCATCTGGAAGGGCGTGCCTTCCCAAACGATAGCCTTCATGGATTTATCTTGAGCTTGTGACATTTTGCGAAGTCAAGATTCTGTAACTCATAGCACAGGAGGTGATTGAAAATCTAGAACCATATTAGCTCATGGATTTCTCTAGAGTCCTTATATGTGCACAGGAGAGACTATACCTAGTTAAGAATAGTAATTCTGTCCGCAAACAGCAAATTTTCGCTAGACGGATGACATCATTTTTTTTTAAAAAGATTCATTGACATATTACCCTGGATAAGGTAGTGATGTATAGATGACAGATCCATCATAACCACAGGTTCTAGATTATAGTTGCGGGTTTCCGGCTTGACAATGGTGACAGACCGTTGCATTTCAGTGAAGTCATTGTCTTCTTCCTATATCTTTACTCTTGTTTGACCTGGTCTCTGCACCTTTCTCAATTTAAGCTACATAAGTTGGATCAGCCTTTGTAACGCACGTATGTATACTTCAAACTTTGAGATAGTTCTCTGATGCTTTCTATGCGACAACCCGGCATATTCGAAAGAGGCGCCACTCAAGAATGAAACCAGTGTACGAGCAAAACTTAAATTAGCATTTAGGTTTGATCAAGAGCACGTATTGTATAAAATAATAAACCAAGCCTTTCTCCGAAACCAGTGTCCCGCCCACCACGGATACCGCCGGATGCAGTACAATCAGAGCCTCTCCACCGGCCCATCATTTCTAAGTGGATGTTGTGTACATGGTCTTGTTACTTACGTCAATATGATGTCAAATCCTATCTCATGGTGGTACTTTAAATGGTTGCAGAGGTTCATGAATCCCTTCCTCATAGACTTATCAGTCTTGAGATTGTTCTGCACATTACGCGGGAGGAAAGTGAGGCAGGTACGATTTGATCGAACCCAGAACTTCCCCTCATCAATGTCTTCAGGAAAATCAGACCATACGTCTACCTAACATTCCAATGCGAAAACGCATCCAGGGACTCAGAAATCCGGAGATACATTGCCCACATGTGCATCCATACTTCAGGCGATGCCACTTGACGCCGGTCACTCTGATACCACCATTGGTAGAGATAAGGCAGATAACAGCTGTGTCGCTAAATCCAGTGAACTGATCCGAAACGTCTTCAGTCAACGCATTCAAGCGATGTGTTGTCCTACTTTCCTCGAGATTTGTTAGTAGAACATCCAACGGAGTCTCGCCTTGACCATTGCGCTGTTGGAGGAGCACCTGGGTTCTGCTCAGGATCCACCGGACACTATTCGGCTTGACTTTGGCTGCAGCAAGGTGCAAAACAGTGTTTCCGTGTGCATCTGTAGATTTCCCTCGCATACTCATTGTCGGTGGACTCTAGCGCATTTTTCAGGTCAAATTCCACGTCAGGGTCTAGTATGCTCAACGGAACTGCTGGAGTCTCGTGATCGTTGTCAGCTAAATTTCTATAGATCTCTTGACTAGTCCAGCGCTCTATTGCTCTATGCATCTCTCTCACCGCATACCCAACTACACTCGCCATGAAAACCTCAACCAAGAGCCTCGAGCTAGCTCAGCTGGCCTTTTATGGTATTGCTTCCATTTCCGCTATATACTGTTTCATTGCACATCGAAAGCACGGGAAGCTTGGATGACTATATGTCTTCGTGATGTGTGGCCTACGGTTGGTAGGAAACGGCATGATATACCACGCACTGTCCACAACTGGGCAGCCAAGTAGGCCGTATCAATGCACTTTCGACCAGCGGCTATTTTTGGTTAAGTATGCAGAAAAACAACCGACGCGTAACATATTTTATACATGATTTATCACCTCATGAACAAAATGAACAAAACGATATCGAATACATAGCAGAAGACACACCAAGCATCACGATTCACGATGAACCCTAACAAACCCCCAATCTTCAACCTAAATCTACTGAAACTAGCTACTGTTCACTATAGTCTAATAGAAATATAACCAAACTTCCACCACCAGACCCCTTCTAGTAGCCATTATAGGAAACAAATGAGCCACCAGGTAATGGTGCTAGATCTGGAGCCCTCCCCACACAATTTTTAAGACGTCTACTCGATACCGTCATCATCATTACAATTGCGCATTTTTTCAGGCCTTATGCCTCCGTCTTCTGCCTGCCGCTTGCCTGCTTTAGGGTCAAAAGAGCACACATATTCCCAAAGATGGACTAAGGGCGGGTCTTTGTGTTCGCGTTCTCTTGAGACCAGGATCACATGGCCCGCATCTACATTATCCACTGCTCGACTCGGAGAAATTGGTATGAGCATGCGGTCTTCCATAGCAGTAAAATAGTAGTCATTGGCGATTGAGTACACAAAAGCTCCCATGCGTGAACGGAGTTGACTGTCATTCACGTCAAACTTGCAATATTCGCGTGTCTTGAAAAAGTAAAAGACGGCAAGATTTGTCGCACTGGACTGGCTCCATATGTTGTAGATCTCTTTGGCTCCCCTACAGTGGGGCATGCGAACTCTCTGATTCAACGGGGCAACGTGGTCCTCGTCCTCAAACCCGCCGCCACTGGCGGCCGTAGGAACAGGCCCTGGCCCATGTCGACACCTAGTGACATGCTCCAGCTCTCTATTAACATTTGCACTTTAACCTCACCTGGTAGAGCTAATGTACCTTGTGAATGAGGTTTGGGGTAAAAGAAAGAGGTTGACGACGCGTCGTTTCTTTCTTCTTGGCGTGTGATGATTTGGTGGGGGTCGAGCGACTACAAAGATGTACGCACTGTTTATCAATGCGAGCCAAGGCCGGATGAAAACAAATCAGAATAAAGAAGCTCGAGAGTATGTATATTGGGTACTAAATACCCTAAGGCTGATCTGGACTTAGGCTTGTGTACTTACTAAAAATGGAATTAGAGGGACTCGTCCAGGTTATTTGTGTCACTCATGGGTATACCCAGTAAATTTGTAGGATGCAAAGATTGTGATACCATATTGGAAACGCAGGAGATAAAAGAAGGACTTAAGTCGTTATCATCGAACCTATCCAGAAGGGGGTCGCAGCCCCTTCTGGTAGGGCAAACTTAACTTTGCCTTGCAAAACACTGTTTCAAACGAACTCTCGATTGGAACTAGTGTGATCTTGAAATATAGCTTTGCATACCCTGTCAAACGGATGATGATCATACTCTCTAGATCTTAAATAAACTCGGACTCTAGATCTATAGGGTACTGTATACCGTAGGAAGGCGCGAGCTGGAGGATACTGCGTGCTGGAAACTTAGTTTAACAAGCAAATAGAAACATTTTTTTTATCAAGGAGTAAATTGTTCAGGGTAACTATATTCACGGTTTAACGCAATGGGGCTGGCTACATGGCGCGACCCGCGACTCCAAACGGGGTTGCAGGTGGCGAGGATGTATTAGTGGGCCGCACGACGGGATTGACGACGGGACGGGACAGTGATTTTGCGTGGACTAAGCGTTTAGTGGCAGTGACAATTATTAAATGCCATTAGGCACGATATTTTGGAGCGTACTAACGAATATAGATAACGGAAACGATCCAAGAAAGGCTCGACTACTTTCGGTACACTGAATGCTGTGCGCCATATTTCGATTGCTTGAAGGAGTCAAAACTAAAATTTGGTCTCCACCAGGTGTATCATTGCCCGTTGTGTTTGGGCTAGAAAACGGCTCACTATAAAGACATAAGCTATATCACTGCGGCAGAAGAGAAAGCAGTCTATTCTTACCAGTACATTGAAGATCCATGGAGGAGACTTCAAAACGCCAGACAGTCTTGCCTGAAAAGTTATGGGGTGGTAATGTTCGCCACGGAACCCCCTCCTCCCAGGAAGAAAGCACCGGGGTTAGCCAATCAGTCCAGGACCATACCACTCGATTTGGTATCCCGATAAAATCAAGCCATGCTTATCTATCTCTCGCACATATCCCTGAGGAAAAGTCGAACACTGAATACCACAAATCCTATAACGTTGATCAAGCTGGGCCCGGGGTGATTGCTCTGAAAGATGTCGAAGAATTTCCCGTCTGCCTCATAAAGGTACGCAGGATTCCTAAGTCATGGAGATTTCAAGCAGCATCCCATAAGAATCTAATTTCATTTCTGGATTCTTATCATGCTCACGGGTTAATGTATCTGGTCTACGAATATGAGCATCTCGCTATTTCCCTAGGCTGTGTGGTGGGTAGGGTTGACTTCAGTGAAGCAGATGTTGCTACTGTCTGCAGAGAGATTCTGAGCGCCATTGATTATGTGCACTGTGAGCTAAGGATATCTCATGGTGAGGTGGACTGCAGCAATATTCTCTTGACTTGGAAAGGCGAGATTAAATTGGGTATGCTAGACTTCCTGGTTTTTATCACGGGCTAATTAAATATACAGCAAATATTGGTGACAGTATGTTAAGTGGAAGGACGCTCAAAGACAGGCACTCTGATGTAAAAGCCATTGGGGGCCTTGCAATATCACTTAGTGTCCGAGAAACTCTAGTGGGCGGAACTAACTCGGTGAAGCCGACCCTCTCTCAGCCAGTCCAGCAATTTGTAGACAACTCCAGGAGCAAATCAGCTAAAGAGCTTTTGGGGGTAAGATGTATCCGGACCTACTTTGAAACGAAGGGGAGCTAAATTAAATAATGCAGGATGAATTTCTGTGCCTAGCAACGCCTGGAGGATCATGGTGCCTTAAGCGTCATTATTTTGACACACTTCCCTTTGGTGTCCGCGTTGGTAGTCGGTCATTTGCCAATAATGAAGATTTGGTGCCAGAAGATGGAAACTGACGGATGAGGGTTAAGTTATTCATCAGGTTAAATCTGTTGACGGCAGATATTGAACAAGATAGCTAAATGTAACCTGGTAGAAAATATTCCGAGATATGTTTAAATTTTCCTTATGATGACTACGTAGCAGAGTAGACTAAGCGGTACAACCAGACTAGGTAGTTGGAACAGGCTAAGGGGTGCAGACAGAGTAGGGGGTATAGAGAGACTCGGCGGTGGGAAGAGACATGAGAGTGCAGACAGACTAGGGAGTGGGAAAAGACTTGGGAGTGAGAAGAGACTCGGGAGTACAGAGAGACTCGGGAGTGGGAAAAGACTTGGGAGTGGGAAGAGACTCGGGACTACAGAGAGACTCGGTGGTGGGGAAAGACTTGGGAGTGGGAAGAGACTCGGGGGTACAGAGAGACTCGGTGGTGGGAAGAGACATGGGAGTGCAGACAGACTTGGGAGCGCAGACAGACTCGGGAGTACAGAGAGACTCGGTGGTGGGAAGAGACATGGGAGTGCAGACAGACTAGGGGGTGGGAAAAGACTTGGGAGTGGGAAGAGACTCGGGAGTGCAGACAGACTTGGGAGTGCAGACAGACTTGGGAATGCAGAGAGACTAGGGAGTGGG